GAGGAGGAGGAGGAGGAGGAGGAGGAGAAGAAGGAGAAGGAGGAGGAGGAGGAGAAGGAGGATGGGGAGGAGGAGGAGGAGGAGGAGGAGGAGGAGGAGGAGGGAGGAGGAGGAGGAGGAGGGAGGAGGAGGAGGAGGAGGAGGAGGAGGAGGAGGAGGAGGAGGAGAAGGAGGAGGAGGATGGGGAGGAGGAGGAGGAGGAGGAGGAGGAGGAGGATGAGGAGGGGGAGGAGGAGGAGGAGGATGGGGAGGAGGAGGAGGGGGAGGAGGAGGAGGAGGAGGAGGAGGAGGAGGAGGAGAAGGAGGAGGCGGAGGAGGAGGACGAACCACTTCTGCCAGCTTCTGCGAGCCTTCGGCCTGCTGCCGCCGAGGGCGAGAGCCTCCACTCCTCGAGGCGTCGGGTACGAGACCCCCTCTGGAGCACCATGGTGGGTCCTGGCATGAATAAAGGGGAACTGGGACACACAAACAAATAGACACACACACACACACACACCAGGATTCCCGATAGTTTCCCATATTTTCTGTTTTTTTTGTCTTCCCCCCCCACTTCCTATAGTTCCCAACATTTTTTCTGGGGAATCGACTACTATTTGTGTCTGTGTGTTTCTTTCCCTCCTGAATGAAGAGGGGGCCCCTTGGGCACAGAGCACCTGCACCGCGCAGCACCGCAACTTCAAGGGTGGTCGCTCTGAGCGTTGTTTTCGCACGCCTGGAGAAGGGAGGGAGCGAGGTGGGAGAGCAAAGGAGGTGCCAAGCCAAGACAGTCCTCGGAACTTTCTGGGAGCAGCTGTGCTCCGCGGGACTTCCAGGGGGGGCTGGCGAGCTGGTGGGGATCCTTGGGGAAAATTAGCCTGGCGAAGGACCCAACCATATGCAGTTGTGAATACCGCAAATATGAATATCAGTTTCGGTGGCGCTACACCCCCACTGGGGCCTTCGGTGGAGCTCCTTATGGGGCCACGAAGCGCTGCCCTGGGTGGGGGAACCGCATGCGGGCCTCACCACTGGGGCCTTCGGTGGAGCTCCCCATGGGGCCACGAAACGCTGCCCTGGGTGGGGGAACCGCATGCGGACACCCCCACTGGGGCCTACGGTGGAGCTCCCTATGGGGCCACGAAACGCTGCCCTGGGTGGGGGAGCCGCATGCGAACACCCCCACTGGGGCCTACGGTGGAGCTCCCTATGGGGCCACGAAACGCTGCCCTGGGTGGGGGAACCGCATGCGGACACCCCCACTGGAGCCTACGGTGGAGATCCCTATGAGGCCACGAAACGCTACCCTGGGTGGGGGAACCGCATGCGCCCCCCCCACTGGGGCCTACGGTGGAGCTTCCTACGGGGCCACGAAGCGCTGCCCTGGGTGGGGGAACCGCATGCGGACACCCCCACTGGGGCCTACGGTGGAGCTCCCTATGGGGCCACGAAACGCTGCCCTGGGTGGGGGAACCGCATGCGGACACCACCACTTGGGCCTACGGTTGAGCTTCCTATGAGCCCACGAAGCGCTGCCCTGGGTGGGGGAACCGCATGCGGACACCCCCACTGGGGCCTACGGTGGATCTCCATATGGGGCCACGAAGCGCTGCCCTGGGTGGGGGAACCGCATGCGAACACCCCACTGGGGCCTACGGTGGAGCTCCCTATGGGGCTACGAAACGCTGCCCTGGGTGGGGGAACCGCATGCGGACACTCCAAGGAGGTGGAGGGAGGGAGGGAAGGAGGAACGCGGGGACTGTCTCTTCAAAACGAGGACCCAACACCACAGGACGGTTGGGAAAAAGATGCAAGGAGAACCCCTCCTCCTCACCCCCTCACCTTCCCATCTCTCCTCCTCATTTCTCTGTTCTGCCTTCCCCTTCCATCGTCGTACTGTGCACGTGCTTGCGCTGAGAGGGCAGAAGGAAGCGGGGAGGAGGAGGAGGAGGAGGAGGAGGACGAGCGGGAACAAGAAGGGGGGATGCGCGAACAGCTCATGTATTTCTCAAGGATGTGTGCTCCTGCTCAGGCGGGAAGCGGCGGTAATGGGGGAAGTTCTGCAGACCCTTGAGGACTACACTCGGATGGGAGACTGCCATCATGGGGGACCTTCAAGCTGTGCGGGCGAATGGTGTGGGTGGATATTGACAACTGCGGTGGACAGGATGGGTGAAGGGTTCCCTTGGACGTCTTCTTTGAGTGTCTGAGGGCTGTCTTGGGTCTCCCCTGGGGTACTCTTGGGATCTGGGGGGTTTGGGTGGCCTATCGGGGGTTATCAGGACCTCTTGGTCCGCCTTGGCGCGTCTTGGGGCCCTTCTGGAGCTTCTCTTGGGCCATCTTCGGATCTTGCTGGAGCGTCCTGGGACCATCTTCGGGCTTTGTTCGGGCGGTGTGGAGTCGTCTGGGGGTTCTCTAGAGCGCTTCCTAAGCCACCTGAAGGAGAAACGCCTGACAGCAACAAGTACAGATTTTGGATGTCTGGGGTCTTTCTTGAGGCATCTTGGAGCCTCTCTCGAAGTATCTTGTGGTCTCCCGGCGCCTTCCTGCACCATCCAGGGTCGTCCTGGCGGCATGTGGGCGTCCTCCTGAAGAGTCTTGGATGGTTTCTGAACCCGAAATTCGTCTACACGTAAGAGTGACCCTTCGCCAGAGTGACCTTTGGTGCTGGCCCCCATTTTTTTTTTTTTTGTTTTGTTGCTGGAGTGAGCTTAACCTCGCGTCGACACCCGCATCGCGTGGTTGCGCTCGCATTTGAGCTCGCCAATTTTTGGCCCCCCACTTGCAGTCGACAGCAACGCATACGCGGAGCACTCTACAGTGTGCAGTGGTTTCCCGAGGGGGGGCCTGTCGACTGGACGGCGCGTTTTCCAACCCAGGACCAGTCCCGAACCCTAGCCTAAATCTCAACTAGCTCGATTCGGATATCTTTGGATATCTTTGATTATGTTTGCATCTCTCTGAAGATCTCTGAATCTGTGTGAATATCTGTTTGAACCACTGGGGGCCTTTATTATTGCAAATTGTCCAAAGATGCTCACTCATATTCCGGGCCCGCGGATAGGGCCAATTTTGGCCATGACGCCGGACGTGGTCAGACGTCATCGCGACGCGGCCTGGCAGTGCCTGACCTCAACGCGGTGGCCCCCGCCAGCGTCTGCTTCTGCAGCGCCTTCGGAGTGCCATTCGGAGCGTGCGAATCCAATCGTCGGAATTCCACGGTTGCCCGCTGGCGCGAAACGTTTGTGTGACCACAAACCCCTGCTCGCTCGTCATGTCGTTTTCCCACACCAGGGTCTCGTGAGGAGTCGCAACGGGACTCCAGAGGCGGGCGCCGCCACACAGAGGTCAGGCCGCTCGGCCGAGCTGCAGCTGCGCCACGCCGAAGGCCGTCACCCCCAGAGGGCCACGGAGGGCCCACCAGCAAACTCAGCAGCGCCACGCCGAGAGCACGGGGGGCACGGAGCACCCAGGGGGCACGCTGCAGCTGCGCCTCGCCGAGGGCCGAACACACCGGGGCGGCGCCCAGCCAAGCCCCCTCGGGCCACGTGGCTACGAGGGCCATGCCACGCCTCGACCCCCGAGGGGGCATGGCCACGCCCAGGGAGAGGACGTCTCTGCCGCCTCGGGGCACGTCTTGGGGGCCAAGGCCCCGCGCCTACAATGCGTCAGTGTCCGCGCCCACGGGCAGCAAAAATGTCTCCCCCTCAAGGCGGGGACCATGCACTTTCCATGCGCCCCGTTCTGGCCCCCCCGCCCTCTATTTGCGTCAGCGAACACTGCGGGGGGTCTCTGCCGCAAAACACTGCAGGGCCACACGAAATGTAATCATGTGAGCTTGTTACCACAAGGGATATTCGGTGGCCCTGCTGCTTAATTAATGTCTGCCCATAAGGTCTGGGCCAGCACTGCGAACCGCTGCTGCTGGCTCGCACCAAATACAAGTTGCGGCAACACTTGCTCACCTTCAGAAGTGTATATTCTAGCCGTCTGCGTGTCTCTCCAACGGCCAATCTGAAGCGTTGCTGGCATATTCGGAGAGACGCGATAGACATGCGTAGCACCCCCTCGGCGGAAAGAGTGTGGGCGAAAACCGATGTGGCGGACCCCGAGCCCGTCCAACAAGCAGTCGAACACAATTCTGAAGTTCGCAGCACTGCTCTGCAAACTCACATCTCCTGGCTGCAGGTGCTGGGCGAGGTGCTCGACAAAGCGGGCGACACCTGCGTCGTTGATGACCGCAGATTCTTCAACGTGACACCTCAGCCCACTTTGCGAGATGGGCACCAGCACGACAGTCGAGCGATCTAAAGACACCTGCACCTGCCAACGGCACAACGTCACGAGCTCTGTTGTGCGCAAGAATCCGCTGAAGCCGAGGACGAGCAGCAGAACAATATCGTTCCTGCTTCAGAAACGTGCTACGAATGCCATTGCCAGCGCAAGGTTGAACGCCAGAGGCGGCACTCGATGAGGAAGCTCAAGCCGCCTCCATGCTCCAAAGAGATCCCATGAGGCTGGCAAGATACGGCGCCGACGCAGCAGGAATGGGAAACCAGACAGGGTGTCCGCGGCCTCGTTTGCCCCCCTGCCGTCGGCCCACAAAAAGTCGATCCATTCTGCGACTTGAAAATCAAGATGCTCAATGTTGGCACTGGCCACGGCAGCTCGATGTCGGTTGAGAGTGACTGGCTGAACGAGAGTGCGTGATGGCCACCCGACCTGAGAACGGGCGCTTCTGCGAGGGCGACGACTAACCATCACCCTTGTCATCAGGCAGCCTGCGGGACGGATCCTCCGCTGGATTCCTGTCAGTCTCTGAATGCCCATAGATGGGCCTACGCAGGCTTGCCAGCACGAGCGCGCAGATTCGCTCCACAACAACATTCAGCACGTGGGACGAAGAACGCCTTTTTGTCACAACTCCAGCGCCAACTTGACGATCCATGAGGCGAGCGAACCGCGTGCGAAGATGGTGTATTTGTCGGAGACGCCACTGCGATTCTCCAAGACAGCTGCGCACCTCAAGGCCAGCGATGTGAGAAGTCCGGCGCCACCGCCATGACGCCACTGCGCGCCAAGTCCAGCGGGCCGCCGACACTGGGCGCCTGGGCCGCGCCAGGGGGGACATGCTCTCAAGCGCGTCGAGACGCACATCGCTGCCGCGCGTCTCAGCCCTGCGCGCCAGCTCCTCCACCAGGATCACGGACGGGTCCAGCGCGGCGTCTTGCTCCCAGAAGCCACGCTGCCTGACGAAGATGCCTCCGCCCTCGTCGTCCGAAGGCGGGTCGCCAAACTGGGCCTTAGTCTCGCTCTCACTTCGGCCTACAGTCTCAATCAGCACGTCCGCCTTCGCGATGGTGTAGGCCCATGAACCTCATGGCCTCAGTCGTCGGCACCTCCTGCAAGTAGCCCGCGAACACAGCCCAGTGTGCCAGCAACCATGCCACCGCGCCGCGCTGGAAGGAGTTGCCGAGCTACGCGCATCGGCGCTGCTCGAGCCCCTCTCGGTCTTTCCTGGCCCGCGCCGGGCGCGCCGCCACCGCGCGGCGAGGCGGGAAGTCCAGCAGCAGCTCCCTCTCGAGAGCGCCAGGCACTCGCGAGCGACCATCAGGCTCCACGAGACAATTCACAGCTTGTACGAATACGGCGGGTCGCTGTGGTCGTATGCTCTCCATCTCTTGAGCGCCTGCTCATCGCAAAAAGTGATGCCCGTCGGGGCCGAGCCAGGGACGCGCCGCGGCACGCGCCTGAGAAAGGTGGGCAACCTTCCCGAACTGCACTGCCCAGCTGGCCACTTCACCCCTGGGCGAAGCCACCGCGACTGCGGCCCTGGCTCCTCATGAGGTTCAAGCCGGACTCCACCTCGCTCATGTGTCACCGACGCCCTTTGCCAGGCGACCATCATGTCCTGATCGACCCAGTGCACGCGGTAGCGATGATAGTGAGAGGGCGCCGCCGCGTCCAGCAACGCTGTCTGCTACTCGAGCTCGACCGACATGGCGAAGAGGTGCTCGTCGTCCATGGACGCCGCGTTCTCGATGAGCCTGAAGATCTGGCACTGCTCCCCCGCCACCTCGACCAGGGGCCTCGCGATCCGCTGGGTGTCGTAGAAGAGCCGAGACCGATTGCCTGCAAGACCGCTGCGTCCAGCCTTCGCGCGCGAGAGGTCCGCGCGGGGGGGGCCCGCCGTGGCAGGCGCCCACCTGGCCGTTGGTGCTCTCTCGCGATGCCGCCCCAGACATGCGCAAGCGACGCTGGTCACGTCGCCCAGCTCGACAACATCGAGCCGCGAGTATCGGACTACTCGAGCTGACTCCTCGTCGATCTCGCTCGTCGCGAACGCTCCCACGGAGAGGCCGAGCATGTCCAGCGCCCTGCGGCCGCCTCCTATGCCATCAACTAGCGAGAGAAGTATACCCTCGTCATTGAGGCCACCTGTCCGTCCCAACTGAGAGGCGCGAGCTGCTGCGATGCCGCGCGGCAGCAGGCGCGACGACCTGCGCGCTGCCCGTCGCAATGGCCTCGCATCCGACGCCGTCGCCAGGCCGCTGATGGGGGCGCGCAAGTCACAGCGCATCAAAGGCATCAGGCACAGCGCGCTCAGGAGCTCCCCTCGGACTGACGATGGGAGCTCACCTCGCATGCGGACCATGAACTTCCAGAAGGCACCGAGGCACGTCATCGTCTCGCGGCGGTACAACATCAGGCGAACTCAACGTCCGCCGAGAACCTGCAACCACTTCTGCGTGACCGCCGGCCTCTTGATGCGAAAAGGCTTTCCCAATGATGATGGGGCAAGACCCAGCTGCCTGTTGCCCCGCCCGATGTGCACGTCACGCCAGCCAGCCAACTTCGGCGAACCCACCTGGCCACGCCGAGGACGTCCTGCTGGCGCCGCGCTGCTCTCCAGGGTCGATGCCGTGGCCGATGCTGGCGACTGGCGTGGCGAGGAGGCAGGGGGCCCATCTGGTCGCGCCGCGCCTCCTGCCCCAGGCTTGGGCGCCGTCAGCGGGCCCGCCTGGCCGCGACGACGATGTGCTGCTGGAGCGGCGCTGCGGCCCGAGCTCGATGCAGCTGCTGGCGCCGCGAGGAGGCCGAGGGCCCACCTGGCCGCCGCTTACCTCCTCGCCCAGGCACGGGGGCGAACGGGGGCCGCGGCAGCCCAGCACGCCAATGCCGAAGAAGATAACGATGTACATCTTGGATCACCCCAGTCGCCGAGATCCACCCCGTCGGCACCACCGTCGAGGTCAAGTCAATCACTCCTTCTCCTGAGGGCCCAATGGCCGTCCGTCGCGCAGGAAGGGGCAGAGCAAAGTATGGCCACATCCTCATGCTCAAAGGGCTCGAGGACCCGCCTCTCGACCAGCGCCAGGGCGATCCGCCCCCGCTCTGCAGCCGACGCCCACGCGCGAGGAGTTGCGGGCATTGTCTCCACCTCTTCCTCGGCCTTGAGCGCGCTCCCGGGGTCCAGGGGCGCCTGTCGCACCCAGCCTTCGCACGCGCTGAGCACGTCCACCGATGGCGCAGCCGTGGCCGGGGGGGCGCCTCCAGCGGCCTCTCGAGGTCCAGCGGCTCATAGGGGTAGACCTCCTGCCCCGTGTAGCTCGCGGCCGACGCCTTCATCTCCGCCCCCCAGCCCAGCCCGGGGAGATCGCCGCCGCACTGGTCCAAGAAAACATGGACATCATTAGCCAGGAACTGCGTTGCCAGCCGCTGCGTTGACGTCGCGGGCTCGCGCGGGCTTGCCAGGGGGGGGGGCTTCCCGCAGAGGCCGCGGTGATAGCTGAGCCCAGAGATGACAAGTGCAAGCCAATGGTTCACCTGCGGCACCGCCTGCACAGGCTCCACGTCGTCTGCGCCTCCACGGCGCAGCGCCTGGACTTCGCCCACCTCGCCAGACGGAAGCGGGGGCAGGTTGCATCTCCGCCGCCTGGATGGTGGCGCGGGAATGTCACTGGCATCGCCAAACTCATCAGCGTCGCTCATCACATCCAGCGAAGCCCTCGTCACATAACTTGACAAACGGGAGTCTGATGCCGAAGCGCAAAAATGCACGCGAACCTCATCTCCCAGGGCCTGGGGACTCCGTGCTGTCAGCGGGCGCGAGGGCGGCAAGTCGAAGCAGGGCGCGTCGCCGTGAGTCGGGCCCGTCGGCGTCACCTCGCACCTCGCGCGCAACTCCGCTGCGCCGTAGTCGGGTGCCTCAGTCGCAGCAGGCTCCCAGCTCCCACGACTGCACATGTTCACGCGTGATGGAGAGCTGGCACCCTCCTCCTCACTGTCAGCCTGGGGCGAAGTGCTCAGGCCCTCGAGCCCTTCGAGCCCTTCTTGCAGCACCTGGGCCCCTTCGACCCCTTGCCCGACTTGCCGTTGCCTTTGCCCATGCCCTTGCCTCTCCGCACCTTCTCTAGGAACGTCCTGCCGCTCGGCTTACCGCGATCTGCGCCTGGGGCCTTGGTGGCCCACGGCGGCCGTCGAGCATGCGGGCCGCCCCCCTTCTCGCCCGACCTGAACTGCACGCGGCGCTGCGGCGCCGCGGCGGGGGGCGGAGTGGGGCTCCGTGCCCGCCCGGCAAGTGGCGTGCCCGTGCCGCGGGCTGGCAGCGGCGAACCCCCTCGGCTCGGGCTCGTTCGCGAGGGACTGCTGTCTCCCGCCGCTGCGGCGCGTCCCGACGGGGGCGGCGGCTGGGCCTCGAGCTGCCTCGCCACCTGCGCCGCCACGGCTCGCGCGCCTGCCTCGTGCTCCTGCCGCCCCTGCACCGGCGCTGGGGCTCTGCCGCCGCCCTTGGCCATGCGACGCTGCCGTCGCCTGGCCGCCGAGGTCGGCGCACCTGTCGCAGCTGGGAAGGACGGCGACGCTGGAGGCGGCGGTTCCCCGCCGCCAGGCCGCTGAGGGGAGGGCCGCGTCACTCCTGAGCCCCCCCTCGGCCGAGCCCCTAGGGGTGCTTCGACCCCTTCTTCCCCGCCGTCGATAAGTGCTGAGCCAGCTTCGCCTCGTCGGTGAACGCGTTCACGGCGTCTCGCACCTCGCTGGCCCGCGCGAGGCCCCCCTCCACGTCGCCGCTCACCTCCAGGTGTTGGGCCACCTGCCAGTGGCCGTCTTTGTGAGCCTGCTCAATCGCCTTCAGCCGCTGCATCAACGTGTCGCCTAGCTTGGGCAGCCGACAAGCCAGCGGCGCGTTAAGGCACCCATGGATCATCCTCATCTCCTTGGTATTCCGCAGCCCCATGCTTGATCTGCTCGAGACCTGTCGCCGACAATGCGCCTCGCTCGGACTTGCTCGCATCCAAGATCCGGCGACCTGTACCAGAGGGTGGGGCGTCGCGAAAACTTGACGTGCTGTCACTCTCACCATCCTCGTGCTTCTTCTTCTTCTTCTTATTCCTCCGTCTCTTCTGGCCCTCGAGGAACTGGTCAGCTCTGGCCGCCAAAACTGAGCCGATGTCCCTTTTCTTCGCGAGCTGGCGCTTGAGGGTGTCCAGCTTCTCTCGCAGCCTCCTGTGGTCCATGCCTCCGCCCGTCGGGTTCGGACCGTCAATCATCGCTGCGCCCGCCGTGGCAGCGCCTGCCGTCGCTGCCAGCGGCACCCGCGGGCGGCCCCGGCAACGCAACAAAGCCCTGCATCGCCCCTGGAGCCGCCACTCCGCCAGCGCCACCGACAGCCAAAACGGGAGGCGCCACCACACGAAAGATGTCGGCGCACACCACCGTCCGCACAGGCCAGGTCGCCATCTGGGCGGCTACGCTGGCGGGCTGGGCACACAAACGCAGCGCGGCCTGGCCCGTGCCGAAGAGCCCCGGCAGCAGGGGATCGTAGGCCGCCGCCGTGCACTTCACGAAAGACACCTCCACGAACATCCCGACGCCGTCACTCCGCCAGCAGCCCCGCGCCGAGACCGTCCCTGTGCCGATGGGGGCCCCGGCGGCGTCAAGCAGCACCACCTCGAGCTCGCGCCCAGGGTACACGCCCAGCGACTGCAGCGCCATTGGCGAGGAGGGGCCGTGGATCCATTGGCCGAAGAGCCCAGGCCCTCCAGCCATCGCCAGGCCGCCGCATGCTGCTCCAGGACCCCCGAGGCCGAGCAGCCCGCCGCAAGCGCCACCCATCATGGGGCCGACGAGCCCAGGGCCCGCCAAGGGCGCGGGCATGCCACCGCGGATCGGCACGGCGGCGGGGCCTCCTGCGAGGCCGCCAGCACGTAGCCAGCCGAGCGGCGCGCCGCCCCCAACACCTGGCTGAACCAGTGGGGGGAGGCCACCACTAGCGGCTCCACCTGGCCACCCGAGCGGCGCGCCGCCCCCAACACCTGGCTGAGCCAGTGGGGGGAGGCCACCACCAGCGGCTCCACCTGGCCAGCCGAGCGGCGCGCCGCCCCCAACACCTGGCTGAGCCAGTGGGGGGAGGCCACCACCAGCGGCTCCACCTGGCCAGCCGAGCGGCGCGCCGCCCCCAACATGCCAGGCCCAGCCTCCCCCATGCCGCCCATGCCGCCACCGCCCATGCGAGGTTTCGCCGCCTTCGCTGCAAGCCTCCGCCGCGGCGGCCCACCCAACGCGGGTGGGGCAGCAGGCAGGCGCCACTCCTGGGGGCACGAAGGGCGGCCCGCCAGCGAAGCCCGCGCCTTCCACGCCGAGCCCCAGCAGGCCGCCAGGCCCTCCGCCAGGGGCCGCTCCTCCTCCGAGCATCCTGCTGCCGCGCCGCCGCGGGGCGGCCCCAAGGGGGCCGGGGCCACCCTCCTCTGCAATCCCTGGAACACAACCAGAACAGCTATGGAAAGAGACGTAGGACATGCAAGACAACGACGCTTCCAGGGAGAGGTTCGCATAACACACGGAGACCGCTTGACTCTTGAGGCGCGTCTTGCCGATCGTGGATGCGGCGCCGAAGAACTGGCCCGCGCGGTTGCGTTGGGCCTCCACGCGCGCCCCTGAAGCCGCGCACCAAATGTTACTCCGGCCTAGGGTCACTCTTACGTGCAGTCGAGAAGTGACCCCGAGAGGCTCCCAAAGGGGTCCCAGGCCCCTGGGGCCAACAGCGGGCCGCGGGGGGGCGGAATTTCGGGAGAGTGCGCTGCCCCCAGGCCTGGGGACCTGGCCACCGATTATACAATGTAACATGTATTTGCCTTTGCTGCCTACAGTCCAAATTTGTAGTAAGGATGCGCTGTAAGGACGCAAGTCCCTTGGACGGTCCTTGGACGCCCCAGTTGAAGCTTTTCTAGCGGCGCACTGCCGAACAGTCTAAGGACGCAAAACTGCCCATGTTAAGGCTACCCGTCCTTGCTATGGGTTTTCACTGTAAGATGGGTGTCGGAATCGTTGAGGTTGCCAGGAGGTCGCCGAAAGAGAGCCCCCCAGAGGGCCAACACCACCAAGAGAGGCGGCGAAGGGGGCGAAAGCTGGCACCGAGAAAGCCCCGCGGGCCCCTGGAGGGAGGCCGCACGGCATCTGCAGAAGACAAGACCGTCCTCATGATACCCCCAAGGGCCTCCAGCAGGGCTCGGGAGAAGTTCAGAGAAGGGACCAAGAGGGCTCCAGACAGGCCAGGGAGGGTTCCACGACCCAAGAGAATCCCACGAGGACCACTAAGGGCTCTCTAATTGCGCCTATGTGTTCGGGCACACGCTTGCCGAGGCCATAGACCGCCGAACGCTCACATGGCCGAGGAGGCACCCTACTTGAGAGATATGCGTGCCCATTTCTTGACTCAGAAGCAAGGGTAACCTGACGTAATGATGTTGCCAGTTTGAGACTCATGCCATCCTTACCCCTCGCCCTCTTCGCTCCTCCCTCACCTCTGCACCCTCCTTCTCCTGATTGTCTCGCTCCGTTTCCTCCTCCTCCTCCTCCTCCCCATTCTGGCTCGTCCTTATCATCTTGCTCTGGGTCATCCACTTCGCCCTCCCCAGGGCACCTATGCAACCAATGGCACCGTCGCGAATCATCCCTGCTCTGGAGGTCGGCGGAGATGCGCAGGCCTCAGAGATAGCCGAGATAGCCCGAGCACTCGTCTGCACGCAGGGGCAGGTCTTCCACATGGTCGACGCGCACAGACTTCCAGACGTGCCGAAACGGCACCACGATGCCGCCGGCCGCCTCGGGGCACTTCTGCACGATGGCCAGGTCGACCTGCCGCATGAGAGGCCGGCCAATTGTGCTGTTCATCCACTCCAGGCCCTCGTTGCAGTAGCACAACACCAGCGTCACGCCTGCGCGGCGCCGGCTGCGACCCGCGGCGCGGCCGCTGGCGTCGCGCAGGCGCTGCAGGCCCCTCTCCAGGGGCCACGCCTGCACGTCCGCGCTGGAGAGCCGCCCCTCCTGGATGCCTCGCTGCAGCAGCAAGGCGTGCACCGCCAGGCGGTCCAGGGCCTGTCCTGCTGGCTCCAGGTACGCGCGCTCCTCCATCTGCAGCAGGCGGGCCTGCAGCACGGCGGCGGCGCAGAGGTGCCACCTCGCCTCGGAGCTGGCCAGCACTCTCGGCCAAGCGTCGATCAGGTCTGGGCTCAGGTCGGGCATGTCCTCCTACAGGCGGATTTCGGAAGGAGAACTGAACATAGTCAAAGTGCATGCGAACATGATTTAAACAATATTAAAAGAAAACATCCCCATTCAATTGTTTTGACTATTGTGGATGCTCCCCCGGTAGAGGGACATGCCCGACTTGAGTCTGGGCGCATGCGGCCAGAGTCGTAGTAGTCCGACACCAGCTGGCGGAAGCGGGAAAAGTAGGGGCTGTCGCAGCCTGCCGCGGACGGGTCGCCCCCGTCGCTGCAGCAGGACTGGTGGGTGTACACCTCGTCCCAGCAGGTGGGGTTGCCTTCCGGCCCATGCTCTGGGGCGCAGCACAAGTCAAACGTGAAGCCCACCGACCAGCAGCTGCCGACGTGGACGGCCTCCGCCACGCTCGTCATCGCCTGCGCGGGCTCGCGGCATCCAGTTTGGGAGACTCCGCAGGCGCGGCAAGCCGAACAGCTTGTTTTGAGCAGGCGCTTGAACCAACAGGCCTGCGGCCGTTGCCCAAGTCATCTCATTCCGCTCAGCGCGAATCCCTAGCAACCTTAGGTTGCCTGTGTCTGCCCTGCTGCACTAATGCATGCCAGCCAATGCTTACTGTCATCATGACGCTGGACACGCACCAGACCCGAGGGGTAAACACGCGCGCACACGCGCACAAGCACACACACAACTCAACACAACACAAGACAGACATACATCACACACAGAGGACACGAAGTGCTCAGGACCCACAACACGCAGTAGAACACACGCACAGCATCATCAGCAACACAAGTCATTGTGCCTAGACATTCTAGCACCCTGTGTTCGTTGGCCTAAATTTGGTCGTATCACCCCTCAGCACCCAGCTCCCTTCGTCTATGAATTCCCCCCCCCTGGATCAGCTTCCCAGATGGAGGAAGGGAGGAGGGAGGGAGGGAAGGACATGTGAGGGGGAAAAACATAGAAGTGAGGAAAGAGGAGGAGGAAGAGGAGGAGGAGGAGGAGCAGGAGCAGGAGCATGAGGATGACGGAGGAGCGATGGGGCGACATGTAGAGAAAGGAGAAAGGATCCAGGCGGGATGGCGGAGGGAGAAGTGAGGAAGAGGAGGAACACTGACTGGGTGTGAAAGAAGAAAGGAGGAGGGAGGGAGCGAGGAAGGAGGGAGGGAGGGAGGGTGATGGGGAGGGGTGGGGGAGGAGAGAGAAGGACGGCGACGAGAGGAAAAGGATGGGGGAAGACTGAAGGACGAGCGAAGAAGGAAGGAGTGGTGAGCAAGAGATGGGGCGCAGGATGCATTAGCTTTGCGACCACTTCGGGGTTGGATGCGTCCAGGCGATGCCTCGGGCAAGCAAACATCCGAAACAAGTTTAACGGGCGAAGAACGGTATGAAACAAGTGGCACGCGTGCCCTGGCTCTTGCACAAAGGAGCTGCGAAGGACAGGAGGCCCCCGCTTTCGTCTTTCAGGAGGAGTTTACGAGGAGCCAGAAAGAAAGTGGAGGAGGAGGAGGAGGAGGAAGACAACGACGACGAGGACAACAACGACGAAGACGACGACGACGACAGTCGTCGGCGGCGCCACGCCGCGCGTCTCTCCGCCCGCGGTCGCCGCCGCGGCGCCGCCGCAGGGGGGGGAGCAGTCCCGGGAGGCTCGGGGGAGGGGGGGCCGCGGCCCAGGGGAGCCAGAGGGGGCCCAGGTGGACGAACCGCAACGACGAAAATAAAGGGGTTCGAGCTCTAGAACACAGCTTTGCAAGAGAATAAACGGTTCCGTGGCCCAGGGGGGCTGCCCTAGGAAGCCTGGACGGAGGGGGGCTCCCAAAGGCTCCCACGGGGGGGGGGCCAGAGGAGCTGGGTCTCAAGGGGAGGGGCCCAGGGGGACGAACGAACCACGACGAAAATAAAGATGTCCGAGCTCTAGAGCACAGCTGTGCAAGAGAATAAAGGCTTCGGCGGCCCAGGGGGGCTGCCCTGGGAGGCTCGGGGGGAGGCTCGGGGCAGGGGGATCCTGGGAGGCTCGGGGGAGGGGGGGGGTCCAGGGACGACGAACCACGAACGAACCACGAAAATAATGCTTCGGCGGCCCAGGGGGGCACCACGAAAATAAAGGCTTCGGCGGCCCAGGGGGGCTGCCCTGGGAGGCCCTGGGAGGCTCGGGGGAGCTGCCCTGGGAGGCTCGGGGGGGGGCTCAGCGGCCCAGCGGGGCTGCCCTGGGAGGCTCGGGGGGGCTGCCCTGGGAAGTTCGGGGGGAGGCTCGGGGCAGGGGGATCCTGGGAGGCTCGGGGGGGGGGGGGTCCAGGGACGACGAACCACGAACGAACCACGAAAATAAAGGCTTCGGCGGCCCATGGGGGCTGCCCTGGGAGGCTCGGGGGGAGGCTCGGGGCAGGGGGATCCTGGGAGGCTCGGACGAGGGGGGGGGTCCAGGGACGACGAACCACGAACGAACCACGAAAATACAGGGTTCGGCGGCCCAGGGGGGCTGCCCTGGGAGGCTCGGGGGGAGGCTCGGGGCAGGGGGATCCTGGGAGGCTCGGGGGAGGGGGGGGGTCCAGGCACGACGAACCACGAACGAACCACGAAAATAAAGGCTTCGGCGGCCCAGGGGGGCCTGGGAGGCTCGGGGGAGGGGGGGGTCCAGGGACGACGAACCACGAACGAACCAAGAAAATAAAGAGGTCCGAGCTCTAGAGCACAGCTGTGCAAGAGAATAAACGTTTTCGCTGTCAAGGGCGCCTGTCCCAGGGCGGCTGGACAATTTATACCCTTACGGTGGCACCGCAGGGGTATAACTTTCCAGCCGCCCAGGGACAGGCGCCCCCGACAGCGAAAAAGTTTATTGTATACCGTTCTTCGCCCGTTAACAAGTGGCACGCGTGCCCTGGTTGTTGCACAGGAAGGAGGATGCAGAGGAGGAGGGGGGGGAGGGGACGAGACATCGGAGGAGGGCTTAGAGAGGGCCGCAAGAGGGGCTTCAGAGGGCGAGCTTGAGGAGGCGCGAAGGCCGTCCCCCACAAGATGGCTTCAAAGACCAACAACATGCTCCCAAGAGACCTTCAACAGACACCCAAGAAGCCCACAAAGGGTCTCAAAAGCTCCCGGTAGCCGCAAAAGACTTTGAAACAACTTCCCGGAAACCTTCAAAATCCAAGGAGGGCCCCAAGAAATTCTGGAGCAAACCCGGCTCCCGGATGCTCGCGGTGCACAATACCACAAGTTACGGCCTTGTACGGAGAACGCTTGTCCAAGGCAGTCGTTTTGCGTACAGAGTCTGTCAGGTATATCCTTGGGGGTTGGCGGACTTGTATGCGCCTCTCGCATAAGAGGCCTCCTCCGTAAATCAAACTTGCGGCCCGAGCCGTTTCGCTCGCCGCCACCGAAGCGCCAAGGAGCGGCGCCCCCGAGGAGGAGGACGACGGCGGCGACGATGGCGGTGGCGGCGGCGACGACGGCGGCGACGGCGACCACGACGACGACGGCGACAACGACGACAACGTGTGGGCCTGGCTACCGGGCGGAGGGGGCGGTGCCGCGCCGAAAAAAAAAAATCGGGGCGGAGGGGGCGCGCTGGCTGGTAGCTGGGGGCATGCGGAGGGGGCACGGGCGGGAGGGGGGGCGCTGGCTGGTAGGTGGGAGGATGCGGAGGGCCTATAGTAAGGGGTCAGGGCAGGGCGGAGCCGCGCCGAAATAAATGGGTCGGGGCAGAGGGGGCGCGCTGGCTTGTGCGTGGGGTGGTGCGGAAGAGGCGCGCGGGATGAGGGGGGGGCGGTGCCTTGCCGAAACTAACAGGTCGGAACGGAGGGGGCGCTCTGGCTGGTGGGCGGGGGGCTGAGGAGGGGGCGCGCGGGATGGGAGGGGGGCGGTGCCGTGCCGAAATAAGCGCGCTGGCTGGTGGATGGGGTGATGGAAGGGGGCGCTCGGGATGGGGGGCGGTAACGTGTCGAAATGAAACAATCGGGGCGGAGGGGGCGGTGCCGTGCCGAACCATGTGGGTCGGGGCGGAGGGGGCGTGCTGGCTGGTGGGTGGGGGGGTGAGGAGTGGGCGCGCTGGCTGGTGAATGTGAGGATGCGGAGGGCCTGTAGTGAGGAGTCGGGTCGGAGCGGTGCCGCGCCGAACCAAACGGGTCGGGGCGGAAGGGGCGCGCTGGCTGGTGCGTGGGGGATGCGGAAGAGGCGCACGGGAGGGGGGGGCGGTGCCGTGCCGAAATAACATGGGTCGGGGCGGAGGGGCGCGCTGGCTGCCTGGTGGGGGGATGCGGAGGGGGCGCGCGGGATGAGAGGGGGGGTGCCGTCCCGAAATAAAGGGGTCGGGGCGGAGGGGGTGCGCTGGCTGGTGGGCGGGGGCGATGGAGGTGTTGCTCGGGATGGGGGGGGGCGTGCCGTGCCGAAATAACATGGGTCGGGGCGGAGGGGCGCGCTGGCTGCCTGGTGGGGGGATGCTGAAAAATCGCGCGGGATGGGAGGGAGGCGGTGTCGTGCCAAAATAAAGGGGTCGGGGGGGAGAGGGCGCGCAGGCTGGTGAGTGGGGTGATACAGAGAGGGCGCTTGGGATCGGGGGGGCGGTGCCGTGCCGAAATAAAAAAGTTGTGGCGGAGGGGCGCGCTGGCTGGTGGGTGGGGTGATGCGGAGGGGGCGTGCGGGATGGGAAGAGAGGGGGGGGCGCGCTGGCTGGCGGGTGGGGTGATGCGGAAGTGGCGTGCGGGATTGGGGGGGAAGGAGGGGGGCGGTGCCGTGCCGAAGTGACAAAGTCGGGGCGGAGGGGGCGCGCTGGCTGGTGGGCGGGGCGGGCGGAGCGATGCGGAGGTGGCGCGCGGGTTGGGGGGGCGGCGCCGTGCCGAAATAAAGTGGCCTCAGCTCTAGACACCCTGTGCAAGAGAATGCGAATTAATGTTAACCAGCTTTCCTTGATTAGTGCACATCTGTTGTTCTCGATACCTCTCGACGGCTTCGAGGTGTCTCCACAAGGCTCCAAGGCTTCCCCGAGAGGCTCTGAAGCCTCTCCCCAACGCTCTGGTGCCTCTCCCAGAGGTGCTAAGGCTTCCCCCAAATGTTTCATGTCTCTACCACGTGGAGGTACCTAGAAAAAGAACACAAGCTGGACGATTGCTACGTCAACGTCTCACCTAAACTGAGGATGGTCAGGTGATTCGCAAGCTGTGTAGAGAAAACCTCCTCTGGTGGGACATCTGGATAAAAAAGGCGATCCTCCCGTGCATGAACCATTTCCCCAATGAAAGTGGAAGTACCATTAAGTATTCATGTTCATTGTGTAGGTTGTATGATCATTGAGCACTATGGTGGTATAGTTGTTGTAGGCTAGGGCCAGTGGGGCCGATGTAGTTTCCAATGCTATCCCCGACCACTCTTAGAGGATGTGCGTGTCGATAAGGTGAATTTCGACAGATACACTCATCAACACCATCATCATCATCATCATCATCATCATCGTCATCATCATCATCATCCTCATCCTCATCCTCATCCTCATCCTCATCCTCACCCTCACCCTCACCTTCATCCTAATCATCATCATCATCATCATCATCGTCACCGTCATTATCATCATTATCAGCATCATCATCGTCATATCATCGTCATCATCATCGTCATCGTCATCATCACTATCATCATCGTATCCGCACATATACACCAACGATACTTGTTCATGGGGCTGGCGGCTCAACCACGCCGATGCCGACAACATCGGTAACACCACCAACTGCACTACCCCTCCCGATCATCCTACGAGAGGTCGCTTCTCCCAATCGCATGCCAATCAACTATCCAAACCGAGCCTTCGACGCTCGCCGTCCTACTGCAGCGCGGCCTGATGATAAAACATCTTGGTAAAGAGGCAGGGCACTAGGACGCTCGAATGGATGCCAAAGTCGACGGCCGATGGCCCATGGCTCAGAACCAGGATGGGCCGATGAGCAAGGACTCGCCATCGCTCGGACGTCCATTCCCCGTGCATTTTTCGATTTCGTGCGTATGCTTTTCCGCAAGATGATCCAAGATGCTCCGCGATGGTCCTCGCCGAAGAAACGATGCACACGTTCGAGCGATGCCAAGAGGATGCAGAGACGCCCTTGGAAAACTACTCGTCCTTATTTTGCGGCTTGACTGCTTTCGTCCGACGCTCTCTGAGGGGTCTCTCCTCCTCTAGGCGGCGCGCCCGGGGAGGAAGCGAGACGGAGAGTATGCCTTCTCAGAAGGCGGCGAGACTTCTCAGAAGCCCCTTGGCCTTCTGAGACGTGTTGTGTGCATTCGGGGCATGCTTCGGACACTTCCCATCGAGGCCCGAGGCCCTCCGAGCCTTCTGAGGCCCGTCCCTTCTCACCTCCCCCCCCCCTCGCCGCCGATCCTTGCCCACCCGCTGTGGGGAACCAGCACGGCCCCTGGCCTTAGCATTAGAAGGGAAAACGCCGAAGACAGAAACTTCTGGCGCTCCGCGCGGACTTCTTGGATCTGCGCTGGAGGCCCCCCGGCGGCGCCTCCAGCGCCGCCTCCGGTGCCGAGCGCGCGCCAGGGAGGGGGGGGGGGTCCAGCGCGGGGAGTCCTCCAGCTTTCTGCGAGGGCACGTCTGCGCGGGGCGTTAGGAGGAGCAGGAGGAGGCGGCGGGCGAGGGCTCGCGGACGGGCTGCCCCGCCTCGCCGGGGCGGGCGGGGCCCCGAGGGGCGGGGCAGGTCGGGCGGTCGTGGAGGCGGGCGAGGGCCGCACGCTGGCAGGCGGGCGGGCACTGCCCCGCACACGGGCGTCGCCGTCGAGGGGTGGCATGGCCAAAGTCAGCGTGCTCGGCAGCACGAGAAGAAGGCAGCATCCGAAGAAGAATAATAATAAGAGGAATAATAATAATAAGAATAATAAGAAAAAGAAGAAGAAGAAGAAGAAGACGAAGAAGAATAATGAGAAGAAGAAACAGCGGCATGACCACAGGCTTTTGGCGCTTGTTCTTCTTCGAGGCAGGGCCCCCGCACAGGAGCGAGGGAGCGACACTGGAAACTGGATCGGCCTGCCTCCAGAAGGGGCAGGTCGGGGAGGTGGGAGGGACGGAGGGACGAGGAGGGGGGCCATAAAGGGCAGACTCTTTTTTCTCAGCACTCAAGAGCTGGAGCGTCAGACGCGAATGTCCACTGAAACACTCAGGATTTCATGTGTCAGATGTGCGCGTAACGAAACAAGCTTCAATGGTGGGGACGGCTTTTTGGTGACATCGCACGCATGGGCCATTATCGTGTTGTGTGCTCCGCCTGGGAGGTCACCGACAAAATGTGCTGAGGGACCGGTTCTGGGACTCATCGGAATCCATCAAGTGCTTGGCTGCCCCGATACGCAACACGCAACCCGTAGCGTGTTGCCACAGAGCTCAAAACGTAGACTGAAAACTCAGTTCTGGCGCATAACGGACGTCAAACAATCGCCCAATACAACACTGACGTTCGGAACACGGTACGCGTTGCGTTTCAAAACGGGCGTACCAGGGCAACTAAGCTAAAGTGTGGTCCACCCATGTGGACCTATTTTGCGCGAACGTCCCAGCGACAGCCCCCACAAGCGGCGCGTAGGGGATGCAATGTGAAACAGGTCTGGAGTGGCGCAAACCACGGCAGGTAAAACATTCTGAAGCAAGGATTCGCATACCGTGAAGCACCTGGACTGCCTACGGAGAGAGTACGGCGAAGGGTTCTTGGCTCAACGGCCCCCTCCTGCTCCAGCCGACTTTCTCCCCTCTTCCCCCACCTCTGCACACATGCGCGCGTCGCGAGCGGCTCGCGTCGGTTCGGCCTCACAGCGTGCCAGACGTGCCATCGCCATCGGTGAGCAGCGCCAGCCTCGTCTTGAGCTCCTTCACCTCCGCCGCGAGCCCCCCGATGAGGGAGAGGAACCTGCTCTCGAAGTCCGACGGTGAGTCCGACGGAGGCGCCGGGGCCTCCTGGTTCCCGCGGGCCTCTCCCCCGGCCTTGGCCGCAGAGTACCTCCTCCAGGCGATCTGGAGGCTGTACGCCGCGCAGTTGGCCGCGCCGCCCGCGGGCTCGCCGCGCAGGAGGCCGCCTGCGGCAGCGAAGCTGCAGCGCCTGGTGCTCGCCGCGAGCCACTGCAGTCTCCTGGCCTGCTGCGCGTGGCGCCTGGCGCATTCGGCCCGGAGGGCCGGCTGGAACTCGGGGAACTCGGAGAGGAGAGGGGGCCACATGCGAACCCTACCCCTACCCCCCACGATTTCTGAGGGGGAGGGTGGGGTTCACTTCGTTCGGGAGGTCACGAGCGAGGTGAACCCCACCCTCCCCTCAGAAATCGTGTGGGGGGGTAGGTGTAGGGTTCGCTTGTGGCCCCCTAGAGGAGGCGGGCCCCGCTGCCGTTGGGCAGCAGGTCGCGCTTGTGCAGGATGAGGACCTCCCCAGCCGTGTCGCACCGTGCGGTGGCATGCCGCGTCCGCGTCCGCTCCGGGTCCCCCATCAGCACCTCCTCCCCGAAGAAATCCATCTTGTTGAACACCCTGTAGGAATAGACCCGGGGGGCGACGGCGCTCACCCCGACCCGTGCGGAGATTTTGCGGTGCCACTCGACCGGCAGAACACGTACGAAGCGGGCCGGCACTTGGGCGAACTCTGCTAGGGATTCGGTGCTCCTGTCGGCGCAGCCGACGAAGACGTCATCAATCTCAGCCCACGGCCCCTCCTCGAGAAGCGAGTACTGGACCTTGTACTTCTTCACCCACTGGTCTTCTTTCGGATGCCCCTGCATCACGATCCCTTTCACCTTTTTGACGGTGCCCAAATCCACCTGCAACCACGGCTCACCGTTGCCGTGCTTCGGCGTCCAGGCACTGAAGCCCTGCTCCAGCATCGACGATGTGTTCTCCGCCTCGCGACTGCTGTAGAGCCTCCTCCCCTCCCCCGGGTTGACGGTTCTAGTCGGCCGATCCCGCAGCTGCTTGCGACCCGTGGGCTGGCGCGTCATCAGAACCATATTCTTCGGGCCACTCCGCGAGGCGTCGACAAATGCATTCCTCCCGAAATCAGAGTCCTCAACCTCGCCCACGTAACAGAAAATGCCGCTCATGACCAGATATATGTGAAACGAGTGGTCGTGCATCTGATAGACCACATTCTCCTCTCTGAACACCTGGGGGTAGAGGAGCGTCGCTAGGAGCAGCGGGAACCGCGGCGGCAACTCCCCACCCAATGTCCTCGCGCAGGTCGTAACCAACTTGTTCCTCAGGAGGAAACCATTGAAGAGCTGCGTGGGGAGCTCTCCGAGCAGCTTCCTCGGCATCGTAAATTCGGTAAAGAACCTGTACATGTGTTTTTGGTCATAGGCCCCCCCCCTCATGTCGAGATGTCGGACAAACTCGCAGAGGCTTACAACCGTCTTTTCGGGAAGCGAGGTGTCGTCCCCGTAAGACTCCAGCATCTTCATCTGCCTGCGCTTCCACATCGTGGAACTGTCGGCTGCGAACACCAAGCTGATCACCTCGCCCATGGTAATACTGTGCACCACGGCGCCGATGATCATCACCAATACCACGTAACAAATCTCGCCCACCGTGTACGCGGACATGTCGCCGAAGCCCACTGTCGTGAAAATCGTCAGGATGAAATACATGGCGTGGCTCCACTGGACGACTCCCGGCTCCTCCAGCAGGCCGCGGGATGCGACCCAGGTGAGCTGGTGGTCCGTATGCATTGCTGCCACGAGGTACCAGCCGCACGCCATCATGTGCACCACCCACATCAGGCCCGCGATCCAGTTCAACGCCCGGACGCCGCGCGAGGAGTTAAGCACTCGTAGGTTCTGCTCTAGATCCACGACTTTGATTATGGACCCGACTTTGACTATTCGCACAAGCCGCGCCATTTGGGCCAGCTTGGTGGCGCGCTGCAACCGCCACAAGCGGCTGGCAGCGTTCGCGGACAAGGCCTCGTTGTCGGCATCAACAGAAGGATCATAGGTGCAGCCGCCTGGGTCCACTGTCGAGGCCACAATGATGGGCTCAAATGCCTCTGCTGGCAGGCAAGCCACCGCATTTACCCAGAAGAAGAACCGGAGGTAGTTGGCCGCTATCATCCTGATGTCGAACACCTCGACGCTCGTGTGACCGCTGGTGCGGTAGGTCAGGAAAAAATTCAGAATAAAGTCGACCAAAAAGAATGCGTACACGATCCAATCCCAGATGATCATGTGCGTGGGTGGAACGTATAACTCGCACGGAGCATGTGGGTCGCTGCGGAGCCGGAAGTGCTCGAACGCCAGGCTGTAAGGGAACCACAGGGCGATGTAGAGGAGCATGACTAGGAGCAAGAACTCCCATACCTTCCTCTTCTTGCTCCGCTCCCCCATGACAAAACGGTTTAGGTGGCTCACGACGCCGTGCTCTCCGTCGTCACGCTCGTCGCCCTCTGCGTCCCCGCTGACGCGGCTGCCGTTGCCGCCCGCGGACGGGCGGCGCGACGGCCCCAGGTCCATCCCACGCCCGGGCGCGGCCCTCGGGGACGAACCCGTAGCTCGCGCAGCGCGTCGGCTTGCGCGAGTGGGCTTGGGCCCGGATGCTCTTGGGAAGGGAGGCGGGGGGGGGCACGAGGAAGCTGGAACCGCGCACGGGCGGACCCACACGCGTGGGACACACGGAGGCCGCGCGCTGGATCTATATATACACACACACCTATCTATGTTTATACATCTATACCTTATGTACACAGACATACAAATATATGTGAAGACATTCACGTATATGTTCACACACATGTGTGTATATAGATATATGTATATACAGGGGCCTGGCCCGGGGGGGTCACAATCCAGCGCCGAAGACGCTATTTGAAGACGCTATTCCCCCAATGAGCTGCGGTGACGCCTCTATTCCGCTGACGCCTGGTGAAGCTCGTGAAGCCTCTATTCGGCCTGAAGCCTCTCTTCCGTTGACGCCCATTGAAGTTCGTGAAGCCTCTAGTCGGCCTGAAGCTTCTATTCGGCCTGAAGCCTCTATTCGGCTCGTGACGCCTCTATTCGGCCTACGAATTGCGACGCACTGGTGGGGTAGCGACCCTAAACGCGCCTATTCGGCCTGAGCCCTTTATTCCCCTGACGCCCATTGAAGCTCGTGAAGCCTCTATTCGGTCTGAAGCCTCTAGTCCCCTAGCGCCTGGTGGAGCTCGTGAAGCCTCTATTCGGCCTGAAGCCTCTATTCCCCTGGCGCCTGGTGAAGCTCGTGACGCCTCTATTCGGCCTGAAGCCTCTATTCCCTTGGCGCCCGTTGAAGCTCGTGAAGCGTCTATTCGACCTGAAGCCTATATCCCCCTGGCGCCCGGTGAAGCTGGTGAAGCCTCAATTCGGCCTGAAACCTCTATTCCCCTGAAGCCCAGTGAAGCTCGTGAAGCCTCTATTCGGCCTGAAGCCTCGATTCCCCTGACGCCCATTGAAGCTCGTGAAGCCTCTATTCGGCCTGAAGCCTCTATTCCCCTGACGCCTGTTGAAGCTCGTGAAGCCTCTATTCGGCCTGAAGCCTCTATTCCCCTGGCACCCGGTGAAGCTCGTGACGCCTCTATTCGGCCTGAAGCCTCTATTCCCTTGACGCCCGTTGAAGCTCGTGAAGCCTCTATTCGGCCTGAAGCCTCTATTCCCCTGGCGCCCGGTGCAGCTCGTGACGCCTCTATTCGGCCTGAAGCCGTTATTCCCCCGACGCCCGGTGAAGCTCGTGAAGCCTCAATTCGGCCTGAAATTTCTATTCCCCTGACGCCTGGTGAAGCTCGTGACGCTTCGCAGGGTTCGTGCCCCAGGGGAGGGCAAATCTATAAGCAATTACGTAAAACGCGAAAGATTCGTGCCCCTGGAAAGGGATCGTGCCCCAGGAGAGGGCCAATCACGCTAAGGATTCGTCCCCCATGATACGACCATTCTATCAGCACGCACGTGAAGCACCAAAGATTCGCGCCCTAGGAGAGGGTCAATCTGTAGGCACATACCATACGTAAAATACTAAGAGGATTCGTGTTCCAAGAGAAGGCCGATCTATTGGCACATACGTTAAACACAACAGGATTCGTGCCCCAGGGGAAGGCCAATCAATATGCACACACGTAAGACACGAAGGATTCGTGCTCCAGGGGAGGGCGACTCTATATGCACATGCGTAAAGCAGGAAGGGCTCGTGCCCCAAGAGAGGGCACATCCATAGGCGCATATGCAAAACACGCAGGGCTCGTGCCACAGGGAAGGCAAATCTATAAGCAAACGCGTAATACACCAAAGCTTCGCGCCGCCCCGGGAAAGGGCCAATCTAAAGGCATACGCGCGAAGCACAGAGGACTCGTGCCCCAGGAGAGGGCCAACCTATACGCACATCTGTAAAACGCAAAGGATTCGCGCCCCAGAAGAAGGCAAATCTCTAGGCATCACGTAACACGCTAAGGATTCGCGTTCCATGATACGGCCAAAATGTAAGCACGCACGTAAAACACTAAACATTGTTGCCCCAAGAGTAGGCCCATCTATAGGCACATGCGTGAAACACAATGGACTCGCGCCCCAAGAGAAGGCCAATCTATTGGCACATACGTTTGACACGAAGGATTCGCGCCCCAGGAGAAGGCCAAGACAGCTCCAGGAGGCACCGGAAGGGGCCAAGACAGCCCCAGAAAGCACCAGGAGGCCCCAGGAAGCCCCGTTGAGCTCCGGGAGGCCCCAGGAGGCTCCAGGGGCCCACCGGGCTTTCTTTTTTAACAAATGATTCTTTTTTAATTAACTTGGGGAGGGCTCTTGCCTATCAGAAGGTGCCGCACAGCAACGGGGCATGTCTAGTACCAAGGATTATGTTTTAATCAACTTGGCGAGGGGTCTTGCCAAGCATAGGGTGCCGCACAGCGAAAGGCATGTTTAGCACCAGGGATTCTGTTTCAATTAACTTGGGTGAAGGTCTTGCCTAGCAGAAGGTGCCACACAGCAAAGGGGCTCACCTTGGAGAGGGTGCCGCACAGCAAAGGGGTACATCTAGCACCAAGGATACTTTTTTCATTAACTTGGGGAGGGATCTTGCCTAGCAGAAGGTGCCGCACAACAGATGGGGCACGCCTAGCACCAAGGACTTTTTTTCAATCAAATTGGGGAGGGGTCTTTGCCTAACAAAGGGTGCCATACAGCAGATGGGGCACGTCTAGCACCAAGGATTCCTTGAAAATCAACTTGGGGAGGGGTCTTGCCTAGCAGAAGGTGCCGTTCAGCAAATGGGGCACGTCAAGCACCAAGGATTTGTTTTACCAACTTGGGGAGGGCCATTGCCCAACAAAGGGTGCCACACAGCAGATGGGGCACGTCTAGGATTCTTTGTAAATCAACTTGGGGAGGGGTCCTGCCTAGCACAGGGTGCCGCACAACAGATGGGGCACGTCTAGCAACGAGGATTCTTTTTAAAGCAACTTGGGGAGGGCCATTGCCTACCACAATGTGCCACACAGCAGATGGGGCACGTCTAGCACCAAGGGTTCATTTTTAACCAACTTGGGGGTGGGTCTTGCCTAGCAGAGGGTGCCGCACAGCAAGGGGGCACATCTAGCACCAAGGATTTGTTTTTTTATCAACTTGGGGAGGGGTCATGCCTAACAGAAGGTGCCGCACAACAGATGGGGCACGCCTAGCACCAAGGGTTCTTTATTTATCAACTTGGGGAGGGCCATTGCCTAACAAAGTATGCCATACAGCAGATGGGGCACGTCTAGCACCGAGGATTCTTTTTAAATCAACTTGGGGAGGGGTCTTGTCTAGCATAGGGTGCCACACAGCAGATGGGGCACGCCTAGCACCAGGGATTCATTTTTCATCAACTTGGGCGTGGGTCTTGCCTAGCAGAAGGTGCCGTTCAGCAGATGGGGCACGTCAAGCACTGAGGATTTTTTGACCAACTTGGGGAGGGCCATTGCCCAACAAAGAGTGCCACACAATAGATGGGGCACGTCTAGGATTCTTTGTAAATCCACGTGGGGAGGGTCTTGCCTAGCAAAGGGTGCCGCGCAGCAGATGGGGCACGTCTAGCACCGAGGATTCTTTTTTTGAAAGCAACTTGGGGAGGGCCATTGCCTACCAGAAGGTGCCACACAGCAGATGGGGCACGTCTAGCACCAAGGGTTCATTTTTAATCAACTTGGGGGTGGGTCTTGCCTAGCAGAGGGTGCCGCACAGCAAGGGGGCACATCTAGCACCAAGGGTTGGTTTTATCAACTTGGGGAGGGGTCTTGCCTAGCAGAAGATGTCGCACAACAGATGGGGCACGCCTAGCACCAAGGATTCCTTTTACTTAAAATGGGGAGGGCCATTGCCTATCAAAGGGTGCCATACAGCAGATGGGGCACGTCTAATACCAAATATTCTTTTAAAATCAACTTGGGGAGGGGTCTTGCCTAGCAGAAGGTGCCGTTTAGCAAGTGGGGCACGTCAAGCACCAAGGATTATTTTTGTTTTTACCAACTTGGGGAGGGCCATTGCCCAACAAAGGGTGCCACACAGTAGATGGGGAACGTCTAGGATTCTGTTTGAGTCAACTTGGGGAGGGGTCTTGCCTAGCAAAGGGTGCCGCGCAGCAGATGGGGCACGTCTAGCACCGAGGATTCTTTTTAAAGCAACTTGGGGAGGGCCATTGCCTACCAGAAGGTGCCACACAGCAGATGGGGCACGTCTAGCACCAGGGATTCATTTTTAATCAACTTGGGGGTGGGTCTTGCCTAGCAGAGGGTGCCGCACAGCAAGGGGGCGCATCTAGGACAAAGGATTTGTTGTATCAACGTGGGGAGGGGTCTTGCCTAGCAGCGGGCGCCGCGCAGCACATGGGGCACGTCTAACATCAAGGGCTTGTTTCATCAACTTGGGGAGGGGTCCTGCCTGGCAAAGGGTGCCGCACAGCAGATGGGGCACGTCAAACACCAAGAATTCTCTTTTAATCAAGTTGGGGAGGGGTCCACCGGTAGGGGTCTTGCCCAGAAGAAAGTGTTGCACAGCAGATGGGGCATGTTTAGCGATTCTTTTTAAATCAACTTGGGGAGGGGTCTTGCCTAGCAGAGGGTGTCGCACAGCAGGGGCACGCGGTGTGTTAGGCACGGGAAGCGTGGAGTAAAATGGAACTTTGAAATTACAATTGGGAGGGAAACACGTTGAATACTGTGCATAGTGAAAAGAAGAAACATTCACAAGGAATAGCATCTTCACCGGGAGTGGCGTCTTCACCGAGAATATAGCGTCTACACTCAGATTAGCGTCTTCACCGAGAATATATATAGCGTCTTCACCGGGAATAGCGCCTTCACCCGGAATAGTGTCTTCACCGGGAATAGCGTCTTCACCCAAAATAGCGTCTTACCAAGAATAGCGTCTTCACCCAAAATAGCGTCTTCACCGAGAGTATAGCGTCTTCACCTGGAATACAGTCTTCACAGGGAATAGCCACCCGGAATAGCGTCTTCACCGGGAATAGCGTCTTCATC